TTTTTTGTTTTTTGTTTTTTTTTAAGTTTTGAATGGGAGGGGAGGTGAAGAGAGTGGAGGAGAGGGAGGTGGTTGGGAGGCTCGGGAGGGAGAAAAGGGGTGGGGGGGTTGCGGGGGAGGTAGGGGTAAAAATGTGGCCACGTGGCACAAATATGGCAACCATGTCATCATAAATGGGGACCCCATATTTGCCACGTCATTACTTAACAGTTAGTGTAACAGATTTTGTAACGGTTGTATGAAATTGAAATGAAGTTGTAATTGCACCGAAACCTGAGAGGGTAAAATGAAATTTACCATTTCTCTCCTCTCTTTTTCTTTTCTCTGCCATGAGCCTTGTGGCTTCTCTCTTCTTCCGTCTTTCTTTTCTCTCTTTTCAGTCGTAAGGCTTTGTGTTTTTGTGTGTGATTTTTTATGGAAGGATAAGGCAACAAGTGGATTAGTGGACAAACATGTAGAGTTGTAGTGGGTTGGGCATCCATATATTGAATGGCTTATAAGATTATAACACTTGTAAATCCTTATCTTTTTAATTATATGGCCTAGGATATGTAGCTCATCGTGATGCAATGTGGATTTTCTTTCAAGAATATCCTTGTATTGACCGTGGACTTTTCGCATGAATAGAGTTTAGTAAAACAAACTTTTAAAGTCTACAAGTAGAACTTTCGAGGATCTGGTCGTTTTTCTTCATTCATTTATTATAGGCCCCAAAAAAGTAGGGAATTGTTATTGGCACTCCAAAAATCTCATTTTACATTCTAAACTTTCTATATTTGAAAAGAAAAATACACTTGTGAGGAGTGTAGAATGAGATTTTTGGAGTGCCAATGAAACTTTCCAAAAAATATGCTAAATTAATAAAATTGTGTGAATCCAGACAGGACTAAAAGTAAAAAAAATATCAACTTTCATGATATAACCACCATTCTAAAAATCCCCACCTAATGCCGTATAGGTCCCGCTTAGGCGTTAGGCGGCTGACTACTGTCCCGATTAATATCCAGACGTTTAAAAATTAAGAAATGAGTCTAGACCTGCTGAGGCTCCCGCCTATACCACCTAACCCGTCCAGACCTGTCTAAACACCTGCCTAGGTTGCAACTCACTTAGATAGAAAATAGATAACTTTCCTTTTGCATTTTATTGTTTCTAATAAATTGTAAGATACTTATTGAACACTTCAATAAATACACATTATATGTTTGCTCCTCATGTTTTCATTATGTTCTAATACTTCATAATATATATGTCATTTTATTTTCTAATTTATGATGAAATTATATATATTTTAAATATAAACAGACACTTATTTACACGAAATACAATAGATTTACTTAAATCCGTCTAGCCGCCTAAGCGCTAGGCCCCAGCCTCCTAAGCGCTAGGCCCCATCCTGCCACCCGACTAGCACCCAACATTTTTTAGAACCTTAGATATAATAGCAGCAAATAATCCATTAATATGTGAATTATTAATTCTCCAATCATTTTTTTTCGGTTGTTCATCTCTTTGGTCTTTAATTTTATTCTATATAAAGTATCTTAATTTCTGTCCTGCATCATTGGTTTACTTAATTTGATCATGCTAGGGGTACTCATGAGGTAGTAGATCACTTTGTTTAATCACTCATCAAGCATTTGCCATTGGGATTACTTTGTATTAAAAAAAATTGTAAGATAAGAAACTAATATAATATGGGATGAGGATCCTTTCCAGATTCTCTTTGTGAGGATTTAGAGAATGAATCAATCGTGGTCGTTCATTGTACATTGTCAACTAATTTTTGTTAGATACTGTTTATATTCAATTTTAAGTAAAAAATTCAAAATAATATCTAGTCACACGATGTAAAATAAATGGACAAGATTATTGATCATCCAGATCTCCACAAAGAGAATTCAAATAGGATCCTAATCCTATACTATGTAACGTGCGTTTCGGGTTTTCATGAAACTAATAGTAGTTCTTTATATGTACCATATATATATATATATATATATTTTTTTTTTTTTTTAACAAACGATATTATCTATACTAAGCGGTAAGAGAGTGAGCTAAGGCCTCACAATAGGCTAGCCATAATAATGTGGTTCAAATTCGAATTTTGTGAGAATCAAACCTAAGACCTCTCACTTACAAATAAATAAGAATATCATTAGATCGTAATGCTAAGTGATAAATTTAATATGTTAAGTATATCGTCTCTTATATAATAAACGCAACTAAATCTGTATCATGATATAACTCAATATTCATGCACTCAAACTTGCCAGCGTACCTAGTAGTTGAAAATAGTACTTGTAATTCCTCGTCTTTTTTATTATGTGGCCTAGAATATGTTGCCCATCGTGATGCAATGTGATTTTCCTTCAAGACTATTCTAGTATTGACCGTTTTTCGCATCAATAGTGCTTAACAGTACAAACTTTTAAAAGCCTACAAGTAGAACTTTCGTAGATCTGATCGTTTTTCTTCGAGTTCATATATTATAGGCCCAAAAAAATATGTTAAATTAAAGTTGTGTCAATTTATACAATATAAAAATAAAAAATATGAACTTTCATGATATAATAAAGCAAATAATTTATTAACACATGAATTATCAATTCTTCAATTATTTTTTTTTTATTGCTCATCTCTTCAGTCTTTAATTTTATTTCATATAAAGTAACTTGATTTTGTCGTACATCATTGGTTTACTTAATTTGATCATGCTAGGGGTACTCATGGGATGGTAGATCACTTTGTTTCATCACTAATCAGGTTTTTGCCATTAGGATCCTTGCCTCAAGCAGCTTTGTTTAATCACACATTTGCTAGCTACAATCAACTTCTTACAATCAAAATATTAGTTGATTCAAGGTTCGAGCAATTAATTGTAATTCAATATACACAGGTTTCTACATTTACAAGTTGCTTGTTGCCGTTTTCTTGGCAGGTTCGTACCACGAGATCAGTCAATCCAATGATGAAAATTTTCAAACTAAGTTGCTTGTTGGCGTTTTCTTATGGCAGGTTCGTACGACAAGATCAGTCAAATCCAATGATGAAAAATTTCAAACTACCAGATCAGATCTGTTGATCCACTGCTCTAAAGTTATGGTCCTTCACATCAGTCAAATTCAATGATAAAAAATTTCAACCACGAGATCATTATTGATCCTCGATTACCTCCCACACCAAGCTCCTCCGTCGTCGTCGACGCTGACTAATTGCCCTAAACTTATGGTCCTTCACATCAGTCAAATTCAATGATAAAAAATTTCAAACCACAAGATCAGATATATTGATCGTTGATTACCTACCACACCATGCTCCTCAGTCGTCGTCAACGACGACTAATTGCTCTAAACTTATGGTCCTTCACATCAGTCAAATCCAATGATGAAAAATTTCTATCACGAGATCTGACCTATTGATCCTTGACTATATCCCACACCAAGCTCATTCGTTGTTGTCGTCGGTGTCATCATCGTCGTCGTCGTTTGTTATAGAATTACCTCCATCATCAAGAAAGCTCGAACGTTTATGGATTTCTCAACTCCTATTTTATATGTAAAGACTTCTTACATGGAAACAAATTTTCTTTTTAGGGTAAATTACATTGTACCATCTTAGATTTAAGGTCTGTTATAATTTCATACAATATATTAAAAAAATTTCACTTTCATACATCAAGTACTATTTTATTTCAATATAATATATCCATTGATCCATTAAGAGTTGACGTGGCTGCCACATTTATGCGCTGATATATTTGTGCCATGTGGCAAATTTTTTTTTTTTTTTTATGCATTTAAAATATTATAATATTTTACCCTATTTAAAAAAATGGTAAATTTCATTTTATCCTCTCAGGTTTCGATGCAATTACAACCTCATACAACATCTTTAAAACATTTCAATCTCATACATTTAGTATTATTTTGTTTTCAATTTCATATAACCGTTAAAAAATCTGTTAAATTAACCATTAAGTGATGACGTGACAAATATCCTCATGTGTGACACTAGTAGGTATATCTTCACTAAATGAACCATCCACATGCAACTCATTAGACAAACCAGCAAAAGGCGACCGGTCGTCGTCACTAGGCAATTGGTCGAAACAGAGACTCTGGTCCCGTGGCATCAGACATGGACTAACTAGTCACTGATTGTGGCTGACTGGTTGTCAACAGATATATGCCTCAGATTGATATCAAAATCAGTCGGCCGGTCGCTATTACAGCCGCCCGGTCGGTATCATGCATCAAGACATGCTTCGTCTCCAATTCAGCCTGTAACACACATCATACACACCATCTCTTCGACTTTTCACTTCACTCCCCCTCTCCCCTTTAAGTGGGCTTGGAAGAGGGATTCACAAAATACAAAACCTTCTCATGGAAGGTAACATCCGTGGTATTATAAAATTTCTAAAGTCAAGGGTGATAACATTTATACCCTATTTCAGTAGAAGAGTATCCCCAAACACACATCGAAGAGCTTAAGGATACAACTTACTCTTTTGATGGGAATAAACATGCACATACATTACACATCTAAACACTTTAGGTGACAACTGGCACATAGTAGGAAGCACATGGTGGTGTTGGAGCATTTCCAAACAATGTTTTAAATTCAAGAACTCGACTAGGAACTCGATTAATCAAGTAAACAGCAGCAAGAACAATTGGCTACCACAAATAATGAGGGACATACATATCAAGTATCAAGGAATGCGCCACTTCCAGTAATTGACGGTTCTTTTGTTCTGCTACACCATTCTGTTAGAGTGTGAATGACATAGTAGTTTGATGAAAGATACCCTTCTCAAGAAAAAAATTGGGCCATAGTATAATTCACATACTCAACTCCATCGTCATCGAAAAATCTTAATCTGAGCCTGAATTTGAATAGACATCATGGCATAGAATAACGTAAAATGGCAATAACATCATTTTTTTTTAATTCGTAAAAGAAAAAACCAAGTCATTCTAGTAGAATCATCAATATAATGTAACAAACCTTCTTTTTCCATTAGAAGCAATTTTAGCAAGACCCCAACCATCTTAATTTACCACTCACCGAGAAAGTAGTATGGTGACTCTTAGCTAGATCAAAAGTCTCACACTTAAATCAAACTCACCATACTTATAGAACGAGAGTAAGAACAAGTGCTTCATATAAACAAATGATGGATGTCCCAAGCGACGATTTCACAACAAAATCTATGCTTATCACTCACTTTGGCACCCTGCACTGTATGATTACTTGAACCTGAAGCATCTGTATCCTCCATAGTCAAGATGTAGAATCCTCCAACCCTTTTGCCACGCCCATTCACCTTTGGAGTTTTGAGATCCTGAAAGAAGCAGTAATTAGAATAGAAGTGGGTAGATGAATGAAGTGAGCCTAGTAGTATCCCAACAGACAATAAATTTTAAATTAGGAACAAGTAAAACACGAATCAACGATAAAGTCGGAGAAAGAGAGACATTACCTTCATCTGTCAGTGGTGAATGTTTAACATTGGCAATCGTAATATAAGGATGAATATAATTTCCCAATTCATCAAATACAGCAGGATCATGAGTATAAGAAACACCAGTATCAATTATCTATATTTTAGTTCCAAATATATGCATAGCAACACCACAATTCAATGAATCCATTTAGAAAAAGAGAAATAATAATGACAAAAAAAGAAGGAAAAAAAAAAAACACACACACACACACACACACACACAAAACAGAATTGCACGAAATATTTTACCATAACACCGAATACTATTTAGGACTGTAGCAAAAAGTACTGTTCACAGGTCAATGTACTGTTTACAACAATTATATTTTTTATTGGGTAAAGTACAAAAAACTACCTCAACTATTGGGGTCACGAAAATTTCATACCTCGTCTTTTAAAATTGACAATGTCATACCGCATCTTACGAATTTGTGACAATGTCATATCTCCGTCAATTTTTCTGTTAAATGCTGACATGGCAAGAGACGGGGACCACTTTCTATTAAAAAATTATTAAAATATTATTAAAAACTAAAAAAAATATTTAATATTTTTAAAATATTAAAATAATAAATAAAAGTAAAATTAAAAAAAAAGGGTAAAGTACAAAAAACTACCTCAACTATTGGGGTCACGACAGTTTCATACCTCATCTTTTAAAATTGACAATGTCATACCGCATCTTACGAATTTGTGACAATGTCATACCTCTGTCAATTTTTCTGTTAGTTTTTCTGTTAAGTGCTCACGTGGCTTGATTCGGAACATACTTTATATTAAAAAATTATTAAAAACTAAAAAACATTATTTAATATTTTTTAAATATTAAAATAATAATAAAAAGTAAAGAAAAAAAAAACCATCAGTTTGTCCCTCCCCTCCCCTCCCCTCCTCCTCTCTCTTCTCCCCATCTTCATTTTCTTCCCCCCCCCCCACCTGCAAACCCAAAAAAATAAAAAAAATAAAAAAATTTTGAAAACCCAACAACCCCCTGCAGAAGAACAAGAAGGAGAAGGAGGAGGAGGAGGAGGAAGAAGAAGAAGAAGAGGAAAAAAAAGGAGGAAGGAAAAAAAAAAAAATTCCCCCTGTCGGCGGAGAAAGAGAAGGAGGGAGTAGGAGAAGGAGGAAGAAGAAGACGAAGAAAAAATAAAAAAAATTTTGAAAACTCATCAACACCCCCCTACGGAAGAAGAAGAAGGAGAAGGAGAAGGAGGAAGAAGAAGAGGAAAAAAATGAGGAAGGAAATTTTTTTTTTTTTTTTAAACCATCAACTCCCTTGCGGAAGAAGAAGGAGGAAGAAGAAGAGGAAAAAAAGAAGGAAAAAAAAAAAAACATTTTGAAAACCCATCAAACCCCAAATCCACTACTTTTCATTCATTCTCCATATCCTCTTCCGCACCCATCCTTCACCTTTTTTGCTCATCCATCTTCCCGCCGACGGGATCTGGGCTTTTTTTTTTCTGTGTTGCAGGAGGGAGAAGAGTGTGGGTGTGGGGAAATTGAGTGTGGGTGTGGGGGGAAGACAAATTGGATTTTTTTTTTTTTTTTTTTTTTTTTGGGGATTTGCAGGTGGGGGAAAGAAGATGAAGATGGGGAGAGGAGGGAGGAGGGAGGAGGGAGGAGGGGGGAGGGGAGGGACGAAATGAGGGTTTTCATTGTTTTTTTTTGCTTTTTATTATTTAAAAAATATTAAATAATTGTTTTTTAGTTTTTAATAGAAAGTAGGTCCCGAATCAAGCTACGTTAGCACTTAACAGAAAAATTAACAGAAAAATTGACGGAGGTATGACATTGTCACAAATTCGTAAGATGCGGTATGACATTATCAATTTTAAAAGATGAGGTATGAAACTGTTGTGACCCCAATAGTTGAGGTAGTTTTTTGTATTTTACCTTTTTTTTTTAATTTTACTTTTATTTATTATTTTAATATTTAAAAAATATTAAATTTTTTTATATTTTTTAATAAAAAGTGGTCCCCGTCTCTTGTCACGTCAGCATTTAACAAAAAACTAACAGAAAAATTGACGGAGGTATGACATTGTCACAAATTCGTAAGATGCGGTATGACATTGTCAATTTTAAAAGATGAGGTATGAGTCGTGACCCCAATAGTTGAGGTAGTTTTTTGTACTTTACCCTTTTTTTTATTTTATATCAAAGAAATAGGGTTAGGGTTTGATGTGGATCAGTCGGCACGACAGAAATATTCTACGGTAGACACAGCGGGCAATGGGAAAACACACACCAGGAACAAACTACTATAGTGCCAAGTTGAATTAAATACGAAAAATATCAAATATATTAAATAGTATTTGAGAAATTTTGACATAGTTCATTATTATCCAATTAGAATATATGAGAATTACAAGTATTGTGTTACATACTGAAGGAGAATTGATAAATTAAATCTTCTAATGAGCTAGTAATAATGTGGTTTAAATTAAAAAAAAATTTATAATAATGGTTCATGAACCATAACTCTATTAGAGGAATAATCCTTGAATTAAAAATTCATTAAATTTGATCCCTTGGTAAGGTAAAATGTGGAACAATAATCCTCCAGCCAAACTCCGTTTATTTTTCCATTCATTGTGCTTACGCTTACGTAGCATATGTGTGGGACACACACTCGTGGATTAAAAATAATAACTCATTTTTATGATTCCTACCATTTGGATCCGGATGGGATCCTCATCCATTTTTTCGCTCAACCCAACGAGCTGCCAGCAACTGCTTCTCCCCAAACTTAGTGACTTAGCGGAGTAAGAAACAGAAAGTGGTTACTTTATCAAGTGTAGAGGCGGAATACAGGGGTATGTCAAAAGGAGTATGCGAACTATTATGGCTTCGGAGGTTGCTTGGTGAACTCGGGTATCCTTCCAATTTAGCCTTAGATTTATTTTGTGATAATAAAGCAGCTATCGATATCTCACACAACCCAATTCAACATGATCACACAAAACATGTGGAAGTTGACAGACACTTCATTGAGGAGAAGTTGGATGGGAATATTATTCCATTCCCGTTCGTAAAGTCAGAGGATCAATTAGCGGATATCTTAACTAAAGCTGTTGCAAGTCAAGCGTTCTACAACTCTCTTGTTAAGTTGGGCATGAATGACATTTATGCACCAACTTGAGGGGGAGTGTTTGAGAGTTGACCTTTTGTAATTAGTTTAGTTACCTATTTGAGTCCTTGTAATCAAATTGTAATTAAGTTATTTGATGTTTCTTTCTTTCCTTGCAAATCACTCTTGTACATTATATATTTTCCTCCTTGGTGAGAAGAATGATATCAGAAAATTAAGCCCCAAAGATAAATTCTAATTAACAGTGTGGAGGTTGCGCTGGATGGATATAGGGGGAATCAATAAAAGACTTGTTCACATAAATGGCCGAAAGATATAAATTCAGGATCCGATATGCGGCTGTTTCTATGTTAATTATTTATTCATTATGTTGATCTCTACGATTGGAACATTGGTCCATTGTGTCGTTTCCTACTTTCTTGTAATTCGTTTCGAAGCCGTAATATGTTGGTGAGGCAAGAAAGCAGGCAGGGCTACTGGCAGAATACCCCAATTGAACATAACCTGATAATTGTGACTACCTACATGGAAGGTGCCTTTAAAGGCTTGCCAATTCAATCTTATTTCGTTGAGATGGGACACATTTTGTAGGCCGAATAATGTTTCAAAAGGAAACTTTAATTGCTGAGGTTGGTAGCGTGGTAATATATGGTTTCAGACCATGGTTGACTGATGTGATAAATAATAGCACTCAAATTAAACCTTTTTTTTGACAATTGTAGTAAAGATATAAGTAGGGATCATTCTAGGCCGCAGATTAGGAGGGATTGCTAATCTAATGAAAACTGACTCAAAGATACAAAAATATGCTTAAAAACACTTAAACAAACTCAAAGACTCTTAACTAAACTTATATGACTCAAAACAAACTCAAAAGACTCAAAACAACACAAAACAATAAAAAAAACTCAAACTAGACTCTAAGACTCAATTTGGACGAAAATAGAATTAGTTTTGACTCAAAATACTTAAAAACACACAATATGACAGATTTGACTTAACAAAATAAACGGGATTGAGTTTTTGACGAATTTAAGATAAAAACAAGTAACAAAAAGACTTAAATAAGATTTGGACGAATTTAGGAAAAACTATGGATGATTAGCTAGCTAGAGGGTCCTGCTCCACACATGATGCACTTGCATACAAATTGATTTCCAGTTACTTTTCCAATAAACCATGAACCTCAACACCCTAGATTAACCGTGACATCACTAATTAACCCTCATATTTTCCTTTAGTTATTGGATTGGATGACATCATTCGACAACCCAAAGCATTCTTCAAAAGTTCCCTACATGACATCATAATAGAGATACAATCAAAGATCATTACGTTCTATGAAAATCATAAGCATTGACAAAGCATTCGTAACTATGATATCATGATACTCATGCTAGGAATTTAACTAAACATGATTGTGAAAACAATCTTAACTACTTGTGAATATAAGTTTGTAATGATTATGTGAAACTCCCTTATATTCTAGCACCAAATTCATGCATGTAAACTAAGTATGCATCCTTAATCAACATACAAGAATAAGTTCTCAATCAAACGGTTAAGTAAATTGCATTCACAATTTATGAAATCACAACTGGAATTAATCAATTCATATCACAAATATAATCATGATTTTGAAGTCTCCTCTAGCCAAAACAAAATTAGTTCCTTATGGTTACAGCAAAACAAAGAGAATATAAATTAAACCTTAAAACTAAGATAGATTACACATAGAAACGCTCCAACAATCCAAGCTTGAATGACCAAAACGTCCAAGGCTTCTCCTCTCTCTTTCTTCCATGCTAGGCTGCGGCACAAGGTGTGGAATGGCTGAAAATTGGGTTGTGGTGTATTATGGATGGATGGTGCGGCTTGTGGTGGATGGTGGAGTGAATGGATAGGTTTGATAGTGGTGAAAGATGGATATGGATGTCTAAAAAATCTCTAATATGTGCAGCAGATTGTGTATATATAGAGGGGGAAAGGTTAAGGCATAAATTAATTAATTTGGGAAGATTTTAAGACTCCAAATCCTCCAAGAAAAGGGTAATTAAATTCAGAGTCCAAGACGGAAAAGGGAAGTAAAATATGCAGCAAGGAATTGGGAAAAGGGAAAGGGAAAGATGCGGCAATATCCTTTAGAGAATGGGAAAGTGATTTGCTGCCATAAAAAGGGAAATCTAGAAAGGATATGTGCGGCATGGATTAGGAAGTAGGACTAAGTTTTCTAGACATATATTTAAGTGTCCTAAATTAATTAGGAACCCTTTTTGGTAGCTGAAACTTAGGAAAAGATTAGGAAAGTTAAGTCAAAATAAGGAAGTTTGACT